TGTATATGTATGTACATATTTAGATTAGTGCTCTGCAAGTACTTTAAATGTATCAGCTTGACATCTGAAATTTGCAGTTTTTACCAGTCAGCAAGTACCATTGCTATGTGTGATCCTATAGGAAGACTCAGTTCCTGTTCCAGAAGCTTGTTTTCTTAAACGAGATAGGTGATAGGGCAGGGTTTTTCATTTTTTCCTCTTTAAACACTTTCATGGTTCTCTGATGGATTTGCTAGCTTATTTCTGCAAAATATATCTGAGGGATGTTCTCATTCACTGGGGGAAGTTCCTTAGTTCCTTTGATGTTTGGACTAGCTCTTGAGCCACATTGGACATTGCTGTGAGAGGGAAGCTGTATTCAAGTGCAGTATAACATTTTCAAAGGCAATTGAATGCAGTTGACTTTCAATTTTTGATATTTGAATATTTTGAAACATAAATGTGATCTTTGCGTCTCTTCAAATATGTGCATCTGTGCCGTAGGTCTGTTTCAAAACTGTTCTCTTAATAAACATGAAGACTTCATTTTGCCTTACTTCATTGTGCTCTTAAGGTCATTCTCATGATACAAATCTGAATCAAATCTGACCGTACCTGTATAATTTCTCTTTCAATATCACATTGTTTAGGAAAGCTGGTTATATTAATGTGCTTATCATGGTGAAAAAAAATCTGCTGTCCTTTTTCACAGTTCATGTAATATTTAATATATGTCTTAGTGTTAATTTTGTATCAAAATTGGGACTTAGTGCGGGGAAATAACTGAGATTAAAGGGAATTCTGTATTGGAGGCGCCGCTGTTAGCCACGGGGACATGGGGACTCATCACTGCACTGCAGGCTGTTTCATCTCAGGTTGCAACCTATTGGGAACATACACGTTAAAAGCCTTTGCGTGGCCTAAATGCTAATCACTGAATGATTTGCATTTAAAAATAATGACTATTTTTGAGGGGTGGACAGACTTAAGTGAGTTAACGTGTTCGGTTCTGATAGCAGCGGTACTCAAGCCCCAGAGGTCGGCTGTGCAGAATCAGGGCTACGCAGTTTGCAGCATGGGTCGGTTAGTTGTGTAATGACAATGCTAACAACGTGCAATCTTAAAGACAATGGCAATATATTAATCCTCTAGTCCTAGTGATCCTGTGCCAGAGATTGATCTTGAAAATGCAAATTAAGTCATTTCGGTTTTTTACATGACAGATAGTGTGGGAATTTTACTTATGGGATTCTACTAAAGAGGCAATATTTTTTTAGATCTTCGTGAAGACACGGCTTTAGGATTTTCTCTATTTTTGTTCTTTGATTTGCTGCAGGTAGCCCTTTTACCCATTAAAGAACACTGTTTGCTTGTAGGCAAATATTTAGGGAGATAAATGTTAAGAGTGGGGCTGTAACTACATCAATTTCTACTCTACTGTAGGGTTCTTTTTTCTTTGGTTCTGCTATCAATACTAAATAAAGATGGGGTTTTGAACTCTTGCTTTTTACGGAACTGGTTAATTTCAGCAATTCTATTTTTTTAATTGCATCTGATGTATAAATTTAATTTCAGAGGTCGCAGCAGTGGCAAAGGACCACCTCAGCCTACAGTAAGTATGTCTTTTTTCATTGTACCGCTTTGAGGTATGAGGACACTACTTGCCTGCAGTGAACCTAAGTATCAATCCTAACTACTGGATTGTAGTTACAGCTGTAGATGTGTGGGAATAAATAGGAGCAAATTGAAAAGCATTGTCTTATCTGAAGATTGTAACATTGGCCTCGTCATTAAGCAGTTGACAAAAGAGCAAGAAAGCATTTGATTGAAGAAAAGTAACAAAATAGTCTTGCTATGAAATAGCTGGCCCAGGGTTCTCAATGGTCTGGCTGTATGGTTTTAGTTATTGTCAAGGCTAAACAGTGTTAAAGAGTAGGTGTGGGATAACTTGTAGAACAAAATTTTATCAAAACCTTGGTTCTCAGTTTAAAGAATGTATCTTTGAACTGCAAGAAGCAAGCCTTTGTGAATTTGTGCTCTGGTTTTTGAGGATGGCTTATCTGGGGAACAGAGCAGGAGTAGGAACATCAAGAATGACTGTAGTTTACTTGCATAGATGTTTCTTAAGTCTCTTCACAGCCACTGAAAAGATGTTTGAAGGGAGAGAGGTGAGAGAGAGAGGTCAGATGCAAATGATGACTGTTGTGTGAGTGCTGAAGTTTTTACATCCTCCAGACTGAGTGTTGAGCGTCTTTAAACATGTCTCTTCAGAGCAGTGGTTGATGTTGCAGAATGTGTGGTTAACCTGCAGGCATAAGTGGATTAAAAAGCTTGAGAGTTCAGAAGAGAATTTATCAGTTAAAAAACTCTAAATATGATGGGGTGCTTACATTTTCCAGTATCTTCTAGTTCATAGTCATGAAGTTGAATGGAGGAGATATGAGAAGTTGCAACAAGCCTCATGTGTACTCATGCAAACTTACCTAGCACTCTGAGCAGCAGATGGTCAGCTTTTCTAGTGTAGGGTCTCAGATTCCAGTACTGCTGTGAATTTAGTTTTGACTAATTTTATGATATATTTTTCCTTTGGCACTTCATGATTTGGTGCTCTCTGTTAATGAGTGTAATCAGGACCATTAGCTAATTCCTGAGGTGATGTAATCCAGCATGCATTAAAACACTTTTTATTTCTACAGCCATTGAAGTATCTTACCCACTGATAGTTCTGAAACAAGATAGAAATGATAGCAGAGTCTTTTCACTTGTGAGTGTCTCTATATGAATTTCACCTAACCAGCAAGGGCATTTCCTTGTTGAGTGACATTTGGGACACGTAAGCTTGATGTTGTTTGGGAGGGTATTGCTTGGTGTACAGATTAAGTGATTAATGAAAAGCGTAAGGGCCCTAGAGTGACTTAAATTCAGTGCACGCTATCAGAGTAAAGTCTTGTCCAAGTGCATTTCTAGGAACAAGTATGTGCAGGAAAAGAAAAGCCCAGCAACTTTCATTGTTCTTGAGGCACTGCCTTTTTGAGTTGTTACAGTGAAATATATCTATGTTTCCTGACAGAATCATTTTTATTTTTCAGATTTCTTTTGATGGCATCTATGCAAACATGAGAATGGTTCACATACTTACATCAGTTGTTGTAAGTCTTCATGTTTGGCAGGAGGGTAAACGGTTTTTATAGTGACATAGAATTGTAAAATATTACACTAATTGTAATGGAGCAAACACTAAATGGTAGGCATCTTCTGCCAAGGCTGAGTTTTGAAAGAATTGCAATAATAGCTGTATAAGCTAAAGTACAGAACAGCTACAAACTGTATGGATGCTGGCCATATTTTGGCTTTTTTACTGTTAGAGAGATTATGAATAAGTAAAATAAGACTGTATACAAGTAATGCAAGCCCTCCTTCACTAGATTTTAAAGGAAATGCTGCCATGCTGAAAGTGAGTAACCAAGACTGTCCCACCTCCTTGTGCTAGAATCCAGGTTAAGCCTTCCTCCTTATTTGCACCAACACATGCACAGATCATGTTCTTGAAAAAGCTTGTCTGGGCATAGGACTGGTAAAGAGCAATGTAGCAAAAATGATTCTACGAGTATCTTTAAATCCCTTCAGAACAACTTTGGTGCACTCAGCTGTATGCGTCTGCCGAGCACAGATGCATATTTATAAATTCCCAAATGCTGAATGAATAGATTTAACTAAAAATTAAGCCATGTTTTTATATGCTATATTTATGTAAAGATAGATACATGTTTGGGGAAAATGCTCAGATTTCATTTGTCAGACTGATAGAAAACTATATATTTCTTGCATTCTAGGGATCCAAATGTGAAGTACAGGTGAAAAATGGAGGTATATATGAAGGAGTTTTTAAAACCTACAGTCCTAAGGTAATTTTTGCTTCCTTTTTGACTCTTCCTTACTCTAAAAGACCAAACATTGTTTATTCAGTAGTAGGATTATATTTGAATATTTATTATGAATTATTTTGGCTATTAATATCTAGGTTTATATAAGGAGGTTTATTTTTTTCTAACCCTTATAAATATCTGCTCTCTGCAAGAATGTGAAGTTAGCAAATAGCTTATTGTGTGTTAAATTAGTGTACTCTTTTTATATTTTAATAGTGTGATTTAGTGCTTGATGCTGCACACAGGAAAACTGCAGAATCCAGTCTGGGGCCAAAACGTGAAGATATCCTAGAGAGTATCTTGTTCAAGTCTTCGGATTTTGTTATGGTGCATTTTAAGGATATGGATACCAATTATGCAAGAAGAGGTATACTTTCTTTTTAAAGGTGTTTTTAAGTTGGCTAAAAATCATAAGTCAAGATTTTCAAGCTAGGTGCTTTGGGATCCAAAATCGTATTTAAGACTCTCTATTCTTACAAAGTTCTGAACATCTGAATATCCCATTGAAGACAGTGGATGGGATAGAAAGAGCATCTTCAGTAACAGCAGTTTAAGTTTTTAAAATAGGTTGCAGAGCCTTTCTGAGTGTAGTGAGCTTTGAGTAGCTGTTTTCAATGTCTGGAAAGCAAATTCTTGGTAGTGTCACAAAATATTTTACAGATCTTGTGGGAGTCATCTTTTTGAAAATTTCTTTCTAAATTAGCTGGTTAAATGTTATATGTGAAAACAAGAATACGTAAGCTCTGTAAACCAGCTCTGAAGATAACCCTTTTATATAAATCTGTTTATCTCTATGCACACATTTTTGTAAATGTAACTCTGTGTAACTAAAATACTACAGTAAACAAAGCCTAAAATTATTTAAAATGATCCAATATTCCTTTTTTTATTATTTTCATTTTTTATTTCTGGTCTCTTCCTTAGGTATGTAGCTTAGGTGTCCAAAATGCAGAGAAATCTAATGACGTGTCAGGCAGGTAGTCTTAAAATCTCAAGACATGGCTTGATCTGAAGCTGTCAGAATTAAATGACTTACAGGCAGTCAGACAGTCTTTGTACTTTTTCTTTTAATGTCTGACCTCCAAAACCCTGATAATTTTTCTCAGCCTAAGAGGCTTGTAATCAGACAGCTCCAGGTCCTTTGCAATTTTTTTTTTGGTGGCAAATCTCAGAGATTTCTTTGCTTAGGTTCCTGATTTCCTGGGCAAATATGTGTATGTTCAAGTTGCACGCTGCAAGGCTCAACAAATGCTGTCGCTGTTTTCACCTTTTGTTCATACATGCACATGTTTTTGTCTGATATAAAACTGAAGAAGGAAAGGCTTGTCGTTTCAAGGAATTTGCTTTTTCCAGAAGATGGTGCATAGTGTCAGAGCCAGAGTAGCACTGCAATACAGAGAAGTGCCAGTTCCAGGTTCTGGACCATAACTTCGAGTTTAAATTGCCCTAAGGCTGTTTTATAATGGATCTGTTGCAAATATCACCTTAATGTAAGTGCAGACTGGGCTGGCCGTTACCCAGTCTTTATAGGGTTTTATAGAGCTTTAGTAAACAGGGAAGGAAGAACGTTTTACTACTTCCAGGAATAATGCTCAGATAAACTTGTCTGGAAGGAAATGACTGCTTTGGTTGAACAGTCACTCACTTCGCTTTATTACATGGGATTTCTTTGAATCTAAACCTCCAAGTAGCTGAAGAGGAGGAAACAAGGGGCTTGGAGCAGGATTAAGAGGAAGGGTGCAAAACTTGGTGATGATTCTTATTGGGTAAACTGAGGATTTAGGAGAGTGGAAGTGTACAAACACACATGTAGAAACTGGGGGCCTTATTGGGGCCTTTTTATTTTTTCTTAAAAATAAGACTGAAACTTCATGACATGTACAAAAAGCTTTTTTTTTTTTTTAAAATAAAAAGCACTCCCCAGGCACTTTGACTGGAGGAGAGACTTCCTAGATTAGGGTGTTGGAAGCCTTGAAGTAACCTTTCTTTTGGGGCAGAAGGTACCATGTCAGAAATGTTTGTGTGTTCTGTTTCAGTAGAAGTATTTTCTTAAGCCTTGCAATTTTTTATTTGCTACTTACCTCTCTGTTGAATCAGAGCATGGACAACTGCTCCTCCTGACTCTTTAGATTTTGAGTCTGAGTTATCTTCAGACTTGAATAGCAGAAATGTTGCTGTTTCTCACTCCGCCTTTCTGCCAAAGACAGAAATAGAAAAGCTGGTTGAATGAGGACTAGAAAAGAATAGTAGGTGGGGAGGGTGGGGAGTAAGAGAGTGGGATGGATTCTCCTTTTGTCAGGAGTAGCAGGTAGAGTTGACTCTGAAAGAAATACCTTAAATAAGCTGCTAAGCACCTCTCATTATTGCAGTACTTGTGCAGCTGTGGAGCAGTGAGCAGGTAATTCACCCTACAGCTACATCAACAGTGCAGGTGCAGGAACAGTGATGGCAACATAAGCTCAGGGTGGGTGAAGCTGCCTTGTTTGGAAGCAGCAGTTTTGGATTTGCTTGTGCCAAGCATAATGTCACACCTTTAGATGCATCTGTGGAGAGAGTGGTGCCTACACAGATTATAGAATTTTGAAAAGATGAGGGGGGAAAATAGATCTGTGCAGACAGGGACTTGTGAGCTGTTTATTTTATAGAATAAATCTGTTCTGGGCCCTTATTTCCAATGGTGTCAGCTTGCAGACCTTCTTGCTCTTGTAGGTTTTTGTTAGCCTTCAGAATGAATTAAATACCTCTCACTGTGGAATTTGGGTTTTCTGCAGTACTGACTATCTGATGAATGAAACATGCATTGGAAAACTCGAGTAAAAATGCATGTTATCCATCTTTCCTACCTGAATATTCTGCCCACATTAAATGAGTTGTCTTCTGCCTGTGCCAGTGGAAATCAGGAGCTAAAAATCCATTCAAATGTGCAAGTTGAAATCCTTGGCAGTAAGTTACCATGTATCACTCCAGAAGAAGCTTTTAGCAGTGTTTCTTATAGACCTAAACACTTTTTTGAATCAGTCAACAGTGCTAGTTTGCGTGTGATTCAAATTTGGCTAAGGCTTCAGAAATGCCTCCTTGGCTTCTCTTTAAAGACAAGACAATTCAAGATCATTACTGTTAAAGTAATAGCCTTCTACAATGTTTTTGTTGTTTTTTGGCACTCTGCGAAAAATATTGCAAATCCAGTGGAGAAAAAGGCAAAAGAAAATTGGCTATATAAGAGTTTTTTGAGTTAGCAGTGAAAGTGGCATCCTTCCAGAGAAACTGTTGCAAGGGGAATAGCAGTAGGCATATTATGAACAAAGAAAGAAAATGTAGCTCTGTAAAGCTGGTGGTAACTGGTTTTAATGTTTCAAAACAGTCCAAGCAGTAGTAAGTAGTTACAAAACAAATAGGAGTTTAGTGTTGAAGCATTTAAGCTGAAACCTCAGTTTACTTCAAGCCATGGTAAGCTTGACTAGCTGTTTGCACTGTGGTGTTTGCAAGTCTTTGGAACATAAAGCAGATTGGTTTAATAGAATCTGAACCTCAGAGTTGCGCTTAAATGCCTATTTCTGCTATCGACCATTACTAGCCTAAAACATGTTGGAGAAAACACAGAAGTTAATCAAACATGGGCACTTAATTGCTTCAATCTGTTTTTTTTTTTTTTTTTTCTTTTCAAAGTGGCTTAATGGCTTAATAGTAGTTGAAGAATTTGCCCAAGCTGATTTTTTCCTCAGAACATGTATATTTAATTTGCCTTTGCTTAATGTGAATTTTGGCTACATCAAGAGAAAAGTCATCAGGATTTTTTTCCCCTGTCAGCCAGCTTTGAAACAAGAGATGAGATTTTACATATACAGGTTCTTTGAGGTTTTACATATACAGGTTCTTTGCTAAGGAGATTTCATGGAAAGCACATGCAAGGCACATACAGGGAGCTAGCTGGGTGTTACAACTTGAGCTCTTGGTTTGTATGACCAATTTTCATTTGATCTTTGACTTGTTTTTTTACCATTATAAAAGGAATTGATTAAAAATGTGCCTTTGTTAAGGTGCCATGTGAATTGTTTGCTCAACAGTTTAGAGATATGAGGCATCAGATAAGGTGGAGGCTGAGTCTGTCCAGTCAGTATCTTGTCTGTTACTAGTCTGACAGTTGGCATTTGTAGTGACAATTTTTGTTCTATTTTACTGATAATCTTAAGGGCAATATTTTTGTTCTGGAAACAGTTATTCGCAGAGTTTATTTGTGTGTGTTCTTGATTTTGTTGCTCATTAATTTTGGCAGTGTCTTGTTTGACTCGCTACGTTTTTGATCTTGGTGTCCCATGTGCCTGTCTGGCTGTTTTTATCTCCAGGAAAATAGTGAGCTGTGACTTGAGGTATCTTTCTGCAGTGTTTGAACTTTGCCTGGATCCTCAGGAGACTGTACTGTGTGACCAGAAGTTTGCGTTTGTAGTATGATTTTTTTCCTAACTGGGATTTTTTTGAGCTGTAAAGGTCACAGTCTCACTTGTAACTCGTGTCCTAAAGTGAGAAACAAATGAAGAGCAGTGAGGCCTCCCTTGCCCCGTGATATACTGGATTCTCCTGGGAAACTTAAGATTGACTGTACAGATCTTGCTTGTTTCTGAAGGATTCTTTAGTTCCTATTTTGACTTTTTTTTGCCCGAGTCCCTCTGTATAATCATGCTTTTTAACAGTGCTCTGCTAAATGCTTTCCATGTGGCTTTTTAAATAGGAAAATTTGTGTGTCCAGTGTAGGTGTGTGTCTAGGTAGTGTTTTATTCACAGTATTCTAGATGGCACCATTTTGTATGGAGTTTTTGTCATGAAATCATCCCATAGAAATTAAGGGAAGCACCCGTGCAACTTACAAAAAATAACCACTGGCAGCTGCTATCATCACTCCTATTCTTCTGATTTATCTAATCCTGTTGAGGAAGATTTCCCCCTGCCAGCAGTGAAGCAACTTAGATGCAAATTTTTGTTTGCTGAACGACATAAGCAATCTCCAACTCGTATTTGTAATAAGATGTCTGTTTGGAGAGGATCAAACATGAAACATTGAATTAATGGTGTTAGACAGAGGTGGGGGAAAAAAAAAAAAAAAAAACCCCCAGCCTGTCTGGCCTATCCAGGTTAAGGCTTGGTAAGCAACTAGGTATTGATGAGTAGAGGTAGAGTTTCCAAATACAAGTGTCTGTCTTTTGCCTTCCTGTTGAATTTTTTCTCTTTGTTGCCACTTATCTGTGGATTGAGGTAGCACTTTGTTACTATATAGTTTCAAGCTAAATTTAAAGATACTTTCTGTTTTTAAAGTGCATTTAATTAAAAAGCTGTTTGCATGCAGAGGAATATGAGAGAGATTTTCTTCCAAACTGGTGTACCTTAGAAATCTGTAGGTTAGTTGGAGGATTTTTGTGAAGCAGAACTGGGGAAATGCATGGGTCTGTGGACAGATGGGAATATACCTGAAGTTTTCCTACAGAAATGAGCTCATTAAGGTGGGAGATGAATAGTCAGTTGAATACGACTGTTAGTGTCATAGAAACATTTATTTTTGTCTGAATTCAGCCATATAATGTAAAATATCCACCTGTATTTATATCTGATGTCTTCCAATTTTTTCTCTCTCCATATCTGTTGTAGTTCCTTCAGAAACAGGTAACTTTTTTGGCAGTCACTCTGTCTCTGCATCTTGCCTTTCATAATGCTTTTGTTACCATAATATATAATGGAAACTTACTCTCCTTGCTCGCACATTTATGGCACTATGAAACTTGCATGCGTAACTTCACCGAATCATTTAGACTATCTTGCAGTTAGTTGATGACTTCTGTTCTCACCCTTGATTTTTATCTATGCTGAACAGTTGAAAATGCAACAATTTAAATATTGCATCAGCACTAATAGGTAGTCCAATGCTACAACGACCGTTTCGGAACGGTTTACAAATAATCCCAGCACGTGCCTGGTAAAGGCAGTGCATTTAGTGACAAGCTAAAACCTCTCCTTTGGGAGTGTTCACCTCCACCACAAAGGTGCTTGCGCTGGCAGACCATGCGCTGCCACCTCTCAAGGTGATTGATGCAGGTTTTTGCAATTTCACACGAGCCTTAACAGTGGTGTGCCTCATCAGGTGTCCTTTTCATTTGCTTTTCTCTTATTTTACTGATTCTTTTTATTTAAAATGAATGTTTAGCTAATAAACTCCTCTTACTTCTCATACATCTTCTATAATGTTTCGTTTCATACGTGCTGATTAACAATGCTTAAATGCTTAATTGCTTACCCATAGTTGCTTTAGTCTCATAGCCTCATACTCGATGTGTATGAGTTGACTGAGCATTTCATGAGATGGTGCTGAATGTTATTAGACTGAACACAGTTAACTGTTATGACAGATCATACCGATAGATGTGCAGAAGTTGACAGTGAAATTGGATAAAGCAGGAATAATAGATTATGTTGACAGTTTCTATTTTTAAAAAAATAGGTGAGGTGAGTGTTTAAAACTTAACAGTAGTGGCTAACAAATCACTTTTATGGTTAATTTTTTTTTATGACAACTTGGAAGTTCATTTATCTCCAATAAGAGTTCATATCTCGTCAAAATTTAATTAAAACATGTTTTTCCATATCTAGCACTGCTTGGTGCTTTTATATCATCTTTTATAAAGATCTGAAATGTTTGTTCCTTATTTTGTCTGTAAAATGACAATGAGAAATTCTGGACTGAAAGCACTCTAACAAGCTTTTCTAATTTTTTTTGCAAAGTTCACTATGTTTCAGTAATTTGCAAGCAGCTATAAGACTTAGTTGCTTACAAATGCACAAGCTTGGCTTCCTTGTTGAATGGCTTTGTACAATTTCTTAAGTACTTTCATATCCTAGCATTATTCCCTCAGTTATTTTCTTAAAGACTGGTTTGAACGAGTTTGAAAATAAAACTTCATTATCTTTTTTCTTTCATTTAAAGTTGTATAATTTATATAAATAGCATCAGAACCCTGTTGCTTAGTGCACCAGGCTAATGGTGGGTTTATTTGGGTATGTTTTTGAGAACAAGAGGTAGAGAGTTTCTGAATCTTGCTGTGACCTGTGTACTTGAAAAAGCTATTGCAGGAAAAAAAGGGCTTCTCTTTGCATGTCACAATGAATGGGTGCACCCAGCTACTAGCTGATTCAGAGAGACACTGTGAAGGGAGCAAAATAGTCTGGGTATTCTGGTATCTTGAGGAGTTATGGAAATGGAAGAAGCAGGTATCTGAAGGAAAGCCTTTATTGCACGCATTTGGGGAATGTGATCAGTTTGCACTGATGCTTTTTTGACTTTAGCATATATGTTAATGTACAGTTATGTAGGCTGTTTGGAAAAGCATACTGTTTAAGCGCTGGATTATACAGAGGAATGAGGATACTCAGCCCTGTTTTTTAGTGAAAAAACATGCATGAAGTTTGTGTAAAATATTCTGAAATTAATAACTGCTGTTCTCTGCCTTTTGCCTCATAGTAGAAGTTGCAAAGAGACCTGTAAACAGAGAAGTTAGTCTGTTCTCCCATGGTTTTTCCTAAGTATGTAGTAGGCTCTTCTAAATGTAAACTCATTGAACCATAGCAACCAGGAAAGGAAATTAATGATGTTCATATACCTGTAATTCAGCTGTACTTGGTTATTCCTCAGATTCACCAGTGTGTACAATGTCTTCCTATACTTAACTGAATTTGATTTCCCTCCCCACTCCATTGTAGATGCTTTTACTGATTCAGCCATCAGTGCTAAAGTAAATGGTGAGCACAAAGAAAAGGATCTTGAACCATGGGATGCAGGAGAGACCACTGCTACTGAGGAGCTTGAGGCGTTAGAGACAGATGTTGTAAGTAAAGCTTTTTTTATCATCTAAGACAGTCTCTAGAAAACTAGTTGTTTATTTGCACATGCCTTGCAGCGTTCGCTTACTTTAATCTAGTAATGACCAAAATTGCAGGACTACTTTGTGTAAGTGTATGTTCAAACTTTGCTAGCAGCTGCTGCACTAGTTTTTTTTACAATTTGAATAAGAATAGCTGGATTTCAAATGCCACTTTTTGGCCAATATTGACAGATGGCAGCTGCTGTGGCAAGGGATGTGTTTAACTTATGGTCTGACTGAAAGAGGAGCTTTTATTAAGGACTCCAGATTCAGAACTGCACTGAAGTGATCTGTGCGTAATCAGAGCATCCTTATCTAAGTATTTTTACATCAGAAATTATGGTGAAATTGTGCTTAGCTAACGGTCTCTGAGCTAAGAACAAGGAAATTGATGGAAATCTGATCCATGACTTAATCATGGACAATCTCAGTAGATTCTGAATTGTTTGATAAAGATTATATTCTCAAAAGAAGTTTCTTTGTATTTCACAGGCATCAGCTTTTACTCCAGCATGTATTCTTTTTAGTAAGGCATTCAGACTGCAGCATGTGAAGGAGGGAAGAAAGATGATATTACTGATAGAGGAGAATCTAGTAATGTTACCGTGGAGAATATTAACTTTGTCTGGATAGAACAGTTATCCTGTCAATTTTAGTGTACAGATTGTATAGCTCAGATTTATTAGAATGCTTAATATCATCATTGCCTTTATAAAACGTCCAAAGCATTTATCATTTGCCAAGTTAAACGCTTGAGTGCTGCAAGAGCAATTTTACTGAAGTGGGGAAGATGTGCAGATCAGCAGGGTCTCCTGCCCGTGGTGCATCATGGCAGTTGTATTAATGGGGCATTTGAAAAGATACAGCCCTTGCCACAGCGAGGCACACTTTGAATGTTCAGAAGTGTCTGTTTGTACTTTCTGGAAAGGCATTTATATATATGTTTCTTGTTAGCCAGTAATCTAGTACCGAGTGAGCATGGTACTTTTTCAAAAAGCAAGCAAACAAAAAAAGCCCAAACCACTGGCTTTTGAGGGCAGAATTTGTGTATCTGATAGATGAAGGTCCCTGAAATAAAACCGTGGCTTTAATAACTTTGTTAAATAGACAGTGCGTTTGCAGGCCCAGGAGAAATGGCAAAAGGTTTAACTTCTGCCATCAGCCCTTAATTTTAAGGGAATGTGTTTCCAGTGTCTTTTTGAAAAACAAGCATCATTTTCTTCTAGTCTAATGGATGGGATCCCAATGACATGTTTCGTTACAATGAAGAAAATTATGGTGTAGTATCAACTTATGACAGCAGTTTATCTTCTTATACGTAAGTTCCAAAATATTTTGTTATTAGACTTGTGTTTAATGTTCTCCCTGGTTTGATTAAATTTTATATTCTGAAGCTAGTTTTATATGCTTTCTAAGGTTGGGGAATCAAATCACTGAAAACACAATGGGTGAAGTAGTGCTTAAGAAACCTTGCCAGCTTTCTGTTAATAGTTACATGTGGTATATCGCTATATATTCCCTTAAATGGGCACAATGCATTCCCATTGCAACAGGCATTCAGTAATGCCTATTTCTTACAAAAGCTCTTATAAATAAGGTGGAAAATAATAAAATTTAAAACTACAATCTGTTTAGATAGCTACAGTACCCATAGTTTGTGTCTAACCTGTCAGAACAGTTTAGCTAAATCCTCATTTTATTGAGATAATTGCTTTTCTGTATATTGGAAACACGTATCATTATTTTCAGGGGGTCTTGTGTGCTGTGAGTAACTTGTTTAGTGGACTTGTCCTAACATAAAGTTTTAGCTACACTAGGACTTTGCAAATAGAATCATAAAGCCCCTTCTGGCCGCTCTGGCAGTGTGGACCCGTTCCAGGAGTCTCCAGCTATAACATTAACGGAACTGCATAAACGAATCCGTTGCAGATGTTGCTCCTCCATCATGAAGTGTCTTTAACTTTCTCCCACTCTTTTCATCCTTGAGGCATACAGATATTTTTGAATGTCCAGGAATTGCAGTAAACTTGCTGATGCTTATGTGGAATTGGAATATTTGTCTGCAGCTCTGCTTCAAAAGTTTAATTTTTCCTTTTTTTTAAAAACTAGATCTATATTATGGTGATAAACAAAGTTTCTTAATCAGCTTATAACTGAATCCTGTGGAAGCTTTTCTTTAGAATACTTTGTGGATTTAAGTTTCTGTAATTTTGAACTGTTATCTTCCATCTTTCTGTTTTATGGATATTAACAGAAAGAGATTAAAACATGAGGTAGCTTTAAATCTTTGGAGACAGATTTTGGTGTTTCCTGGTTAGGCAACTGGCTTTACGTTGTCTGCTGAACTGGGAAACTTCACTCACAACTGGGCAACTTCCCTCTCTACCTGGATCCTTCAAGCACACGAGAAGCAGCAGGTCAGCTAAGGCTACCGTGTGACTGAAGGGTGCTAGAGGATTTTATTTTCTCTTTCTAGAGTTAAATATGAGCAGATACAGTTTGGAAACCACATAAAGGTGTAACTTTGTATGCTACAACAGTGTGTGGATGAGCTATTGTACATGTTTTTAGTATTGCCAGGGTTAAAGCAGGGTCACCTTGCCCATTGCCTTTGTTTCATCTTTAATGGCCATTTCTCTGTTAGGAAAAGGAAAAACCTTCTTTTGTTTTAAGTTGCCGTGAGTGCTGCTGGGGGCATCACTTTGTGTTTTTTGTTTTGTCATTAAGTAAATGAGGAAATATTGGGTATTTTGCTTTGTTGCGTGCATAGCAAATGTAGCTTATGAGGCACCAGGGTTTGCATACATGGTGGTCTTGCATCTATTACTTGTAGCCCAAAGCTTCGCCCTGAAGAAGGTCAGTGTTTTTATTTAAAATTTTGAACAGTTTCCATTGATAAGGCCAGTAGATTTACGGGCTGGACAAAGTGTACATGTGTTAGGGAAAACCTGTGGTCTAGTAGCTGGGAATGAGGGTTTGGAATCTGTTTTCCTGGTTCTCCTTCCAGCACCTGAGTAATTGTGCATATATTATTTCAAACATGGCCTGTATTTCCACCCACTCTATTCTTTTTTGTATTATCCATAATATGTAGAACAGTGATTATCTAATGCCCATCATAGCGTGGTCCAAGCTTCTGCCTTGTTTGGCGTTTTTATGTAGTTTATTCTAATCTAAGCTTGGATGAAACAACTTCTAGAACTCTGAATTTGGATCAAAGGCAAAGCACCAAGTTGCCTTGTAAAACCCAACACTTGCACAAAAAACAGAACAGGTACAAAAGCAGTGGAAGTACCAGCTAGCTCTAGTGCTTCATTGCTCCGTGTAGCGAATTCGTACTTGGGGGCTTTCGTAAGGAAGCTGTCTGCTTCCTACAATATATATAATCATAGCTACACTGAATGGTTTTGAGATCCTATAACGTGGCAAACAAGGGGTAGGTTTTTTATTTTGCATCTCTGTGCTTTTAAACTATTTTTTGACTTCTTGTCCAATGCTTTACTGCATTGAACTCATCTCTTCTGGAGTCGCTCGTAGCAGGAAGAACTGAAATGCTGTGGCTGGAGTTACCAAAGAATAAAGTCTGTTCAGTGGTTGTGGTGATACTGATGTCTGTTGGGAGAGTCTAAATAGCTAAAGAACTTCAAATTTGTTCTTGTGTATTAGATTCCTATCTAAATAGTAGACTAAGATTTTGTTTTTAATTATTATTATTAATATACTCAGTGATGTTGAGAGATGGAGCCTTTGCACAGCTTTAATATAGTTATATGCTAATCATATGGAAAAAAATGCACCTTGACCTCAACTCTTTTAGGCAGGTAATTGGCACTGAATTTGCACGTAATGTATTAGCAGTATTTCTGGATTGGTCTAACTTATACTAAAAAACATAATTTTCTGGCTTATAACCTTTTTTTTCTCCACACTGACCTTCTTGCGCTGTGTAGTTTTTGTAGATTATCTGTACTTTGAATGCATTCAGATAAATTCTTTTCCTTTCCCTTGTCTTTTAGGGTGCCATTAGAAAGAGATAATTCAGAAGAGTTTTTAAAACGGGAAGCCAGAGCAACTCAATTGGCAGAGGAAATTGAATCAAGTGCCCAATACAAAGCTCGAGTTGCCTTGGAAAATGATGAGAGGACAGAAGAAGAAAAATATACTGCTGTTCAGAGAAATGCTAGTGAACGAGAAGGACATGGTGTCAACACTAGGTACTTAAATACTTAAGTGCTGTAGGTATTTTGATACAGTAGTAATTTGCATATGGAAACTATGCTTTTTAGCAGGGTCGATTAGGTTCGAAGCTCTGTGCTAATGATCATGTACAGTTTCTGGTGCTCGTGCTAAGTTGTGCCCTTCTGTTTGGACCTGCTTCATCTGTGCAGTTCGGCCAAATTCTCCATTCTGAAGTTTCATGGTGGTAAATTCATACAGAATTATGAGAAAGGGTAGTGGATTTCTGGTGTTAACGCTAAACCGTTCAGTGTCCGTGGGCTCAAAGCACAGTGTGAATTCAGTATCGAAAGGCAATATTAAATGAGGTCAACATTTGTATTTGTATTTTTGTATTTGCATTTTCATTCCTCCCCCTGCTTAACTTGATTTGAGAAAGATAAGTATCATCAGAGCACTTAAATGGGTGCTTTTCATTATCTTCCGGGTTCTGCCTTATAACTCATAGAAATTTGCTGTATTTCAGGGAAAATAAATACATTCCACCTGGACAGAGAAACAGAGATGTCCTGTCCTGGAGTGGACGACAAAACTCACCAAGGATGGGCCAGTCTGGATCAGGCCCCCCGATTTCAAGATCTGGATCCCACACTTCGGATTTCAGTTCTAACTCTGGAGCAGACCAGAGAGTAGTTAACGGAGGCAAGTATCTCAAATCTACATCAATGTGTGTCGTACAAGTGCAGTCATTTATCTAATTGTTGAAACTGCCTGTGATGTGTTCTGTGCTGTGTATTTTCATAAGATAGATTAGCATTCATCATTTAACACAGCAGTGGTTTTCATTTGGTATAACTTACTGATAATGAAAAATTCATTTGACTTAATTGTCTGTAGCTCCATATCCAGAGATGTCACTTGTTTTTTTTCTAGGAAAAAAACCTTTTCCTTAGATGATGGCGTGGTTTACAGTTTTAAAGGTTAAAAATTCGTTTTGTTTTATTACTATTAAGCTTTGTGTTGAGTAGTAGCAATACTGACATCTAGTGAAGGGGAGATGGTAGCCGTGTTGGAGGAAATGTCACTCTTCCTCCTTGGTACTTGCATCAATTCCCATTCAAGAATAAGGCAGATCACCAGCTTTACTGTGATATGAGGGAGAGGTCATTGACAGGCAAGTAAGGAAATAAACCAAATGCTGTTTTTGAGATAGATTTCAGCAAAAATTCACAGTCAAGGCATTATTTTTACAAGTTAGAAGTGTTACTATTCAGAATGTTGTGTATAAATAAAAATGCACGATATTCAAGTGCCTCTGAAGTCTGAGGAACCCCTAAAGGTAAGTGGTATTCTTGTCTTAAATACAGTGTCAACTGCATAAAATAAAAGGCTACTGAGTCTTGCCCAAATGTTGCTGACTTTAAAATCTGTTTGTAGTGTTTGTGGTTTCCGTCATCCTATTATTTTGCTGAATGAACATCATATACGAGAATTCACAAGCTATTTTGAATATTTTAAATTCTTTGTTTCAGAAATAATGACCCCCATATCTGCTATATTAAAATACTCCATTAATACTTAAGATAACTGATAAAGACATAAATGTCAGGCTTCAGACACTGAACACCGCTGTTTTTTGTAAAGATACAGTTCCTAGAATTGATACTGCTCATCATTTGGTTTAAAAGTAGTAGCTTGTATAGTCAATACTCTATGTGAACCGCTGTATGGGATCCTTTGGTAGTTATTTATGGACCTTGTCAAGTGATGTGTACTGTAGAGCATATGATAGGCCAGTAGATCAAACTTTACTGTCTATTCCTTAGTAGTATTTGTAGATCCTAGTTAACCCTTTGGGGAGTTTACGTGACATTCAGATGTTCAAACTGACCAGTCCTGAAGTGGAGGAAATGACCTTGCAGAGCCCGTTTTATCGGTTGCACAAACAAACTAATCTGTCCCCAAAGGGTTAAACATGAAAAATCATTTTGTCATATTTTACTTTTTTTTTTCTGTTGACCTTTTTCCCCATATTTTTTTCTTTAGTTTTTATACTTTCCTTCATATCATTTGTTCTGTCAGGTGTTCCCTGGCCATCGCCTTGCCCATCTCCTTCCTCTCGCCCACCTTCTCGCTACCAGTCAGGCCCCAACTCTCTTCCACCTCGGGCAGCCACCCCTACACGGCCGCCCTCCAGGCCCCCCTCGCGGCCCTCCAGGCCCCCGTCTCACCCCTCTGCTCATGGTTCTCCAGCTCCTGTCTCTACTATGCCTAAACGCATGTCTTCAGAAGGTACAATACCACGATTTGTTCATGTTTTTGTTTGTCTTTGTTTAACTCCTTTGTGAGTTTAATTACAAAATTGTTTTTCCTCTTCATTACTTAACCTATAATTTGTGTTTAACTTTAGTTTATCAGACTATTTCTATTAACCTTTTTTTTTATTTGAAGAACTTTACAAAAACAAAATAAAGCTGTGAAATTTCCCAAGTTGGTATGAAATCAACTCAGCTTTGTAAACGCTGCTCAGTGTCTTAAACAGCAACACGCACAACCTGATAATTATAGAGGGCATTTTTAGGAATATTACTTCATATAAAATCTCCTATTTTAATACAGTTAAACTCAAAGCAATTTCAAATTTAATGAATTAATATAATTGCATTTTGTAAAAACATTGTATTCAGAGAAGTGGCCCATGGAATAAGATAGGGTAAGTTGCTTTCAAGGTAAATCTATAGAAAACTTCAGACCTGAGTTTGCTCAGCTTCCTAGTGGTCGCTTATTTGCAGTTAACCTGGGGGTCTTCCATAACTGTATGCACAGGTGCATGCACTGAGTTTATCTGTCCTCTGAGGACAACGAGGAAGACTTTTTCTCCCCTTCCTCCCTCCATTCAAAGACTCGCCTGCCCAGTGAGGCTGGAGAACTGCAAACTGGCTCTCCTAAACTAACTGCAAACGTGCAGACCGTTTGCTGTAGCTGGTTCCCTAGGAGCAGCAGGCTAGAAAACCAGGCAGTGCTGTGCACGTCTGCATGATGCAGTGTTGTCCATTTGTCAAGATAATTCTTTTTTAAAAAAAGGAAGATACTGAGAATCCACGTGCAAATTCATTTCTTTATTAGCAGATGTGATTCATTTGTCAACCATGCAATGAACTGTTGCTTGCTGCAGGGTGTAACTTCAATTGCAGGGATGGGATTGCTGCAAAGTATATATAAGTCTTTACAATACTTGCCTGCATATAATTTGGGCTGCAGTGTACTTTAGCTTCATGGTTAAAATAGAGGTTGGCATTTAAAGATTTATACAACTAGAGAGGTGCTTGATATTTTCTGTCTCAAAGTAGAAAGCCATTACCTGCTTTTTTCTCTATTATTGTTCTACTTTAAAAATATAAAGAGCTGTAATCAGCCAGGTTGTCCATTGCAATGCAGTTTTTCTGTTTAAAGTATGTACACTTTAGTGTGAACTTTCATTAAAGAAAATGTTTAGTAGGGTGTAGTTACTGTATTGCTACTCAGATTTGAACATAACCATTCCGTGACAGCTTGTATAAACTGTTCAGAGTTACTGTGTTCACTGTATGGCTTTAGCTTTTGTAGTTAAACATGCATGACTTGAACCTTGGGATAGCAATAACTTATTAAGTTGCAGTTTTGTGGGCTCCTAAATGAATTATGACCTGCTGCAGACGTCCAACTTAGCCTAAGTGCAAAATACTGTGCTGCAATTCCCAGAGTATTCCCTGGTATTACTGACCACCTCGCAAAAGTGATGGAAAACAGCTTTTTTTTTTTTTTTTCTTAAAAATGTTCAAATAGCCCAGAATTATGTTGATAAAGACCTAGGCTCATTTAGAGAGAGCTGGGCCACTAACTTCATCGGTTTGTCTTGCAGTAAACAATATTGAATGTTTGAATTGAAATATTTTAGGTCCAGCACTTGTTTCCATTCTGATCTAGCACTAAATACCAGTGAATATGAGCGTTTGTAGCAAGGCCAAGAGTATGTTGATAGGCTGACTGGACCAATGGCTTGACCTTTTTAGGCCTACAGACCCCTGGTTCTAGTCCATGTCAGTGTAATTTGCTTGCCTGCAATATTGAAAGTTACTAGAACTGAAGATTAAAGCCAATTCTAAAATCAGTTAGCATGTTTGGATAAACCAGGTGATGGATGTTAAGTATTTATTGTGTGGGGTTGTCTTCTTTTTCTCAGGGCCTCCACGGATGTCTCCTAAGGCACAACGGCACCCTCGAGGTCACAGAGTCTCTACTGGTAGGGGTACAATTTCAAGTGGCTTAGAATTTGTATCTCATAATGCACCAGGGGAAGCATCTACTACTGCAGTGGCACGAGGCAGCCCTTCAGGTGGGACGTGGTCATCAGTTGTCAGTGGGGGTAGGTAAAGCTTGGCTTATTGCAGATGGCTTGCCAGGGGGATTTTAGAGTTTAATGCTAAGCAGAATACTGCATTTCTAGATAATTCAGGCCCCGAGTAAACACTGGTCTGCTAACTTAGCTTGCTTAGATCAAGTGGGAGAAGGGTTAGCTTAGTAAAATGGTCGACTAGCCAGTCCTTAGAAGTGCAGTCTTGTCTTAACTGCAGAGAGTTAAGTCAGTTTTGCTGTACGAAAAGGAAGGAGGGAAAAGAAGTGGGAATTAGTTATGGAAAGAAACCATTTCAAGGACTGTTTTTGAGAGAGACAAGTTATACACGTTCCATTACATCACTGCATTTGGAGAACGGGTATGTAACTGAGTTGATGTAATTTACAAGTTGATGAGGTCTTTGGATAGGGAAATGTTGGAGTTAAAAGATGAAAGGATATTCCAGTTAGTTGGATGTATTTTTCCTTCTAAAATGATCTAGGTTTCTAAGTAGTTGTTTTGCCTTTGTCATGAGTTAGTAGTGTAGTAGCAGATATAGTCTATTTATTTCTTTTTTTTCCTTTTTTTTTAAAATCAGTTATCGTCTTTTTAATATTTGTCTCTTCAATTTAAAGCTCAGTCTTGTGACCTCTACCCTAGTGTTGAGGTTTTGTAGTTGGGACCATGTTGCAGTGAGTTGTCAGCAGTTGGGTGCTCTCTTGAGTGAGAGCGACTCAGGTGTAGTTTGGAGTTTGACACTATTTAGCAGTGCAAGAATTTTAGGAAAGTGGGAAGCATTTTTTAAAAAGAAGGTAGGAATTATTGTCCGCCTAATGCACAGACAACCCCCTAGACATACTGCCTGTGGAAAAGTTTTAAACTCTTCTGTTTTGGCATTCACTCTGATTCATCTTTTCACACCTTCACTTTATATATTGTTAACATGCAAACAGTGCTGTTAAACAAGTTACCTCTCTTCTTGCTCACTTGAAGTTTATGCATGTTGTAAAGCAAATAACTAGCCCCAGTGGGATGAGCAGGAAGGGTACAACTCGTTCTTTAAACAATCTGCAGTTTCTCCTGCTGCTTTAACACGGGAGCAAAAATATATTTCAAATACTGTTCTTTCAACATAGGATATGTTTGTTTTTTTCCAGTTGGCACCCCTCCAAAAGAGGACTGTGTAAAATGGATGTGCTCTTTAGTCCCTTCAGAGATGTTTTACATCTGTTTGTCTTGAGATTGGCCACCTTTTCTGTTCTGCCTGAAACTGTGTTAATGTGAGCTTTTGTAGTTGTCCCATGCGGGGCCAGGGAGGATACTGCAGTTTCACTGTGGCACTGCAAGGCAGTGAATGTGTTAGGGGACAATCTGCAGGAAAATTGTACCACTTATCTGAAATGCTCCATTGTAAAGAACTAGGAGATGTACCTGAAAGGTAAACAGGTTTTCAATTACTATGTAGTGTTGCCCTGAGTATTTTTTAAAGCATGCTTTTTTAGCTTCATTTTGAAAATAAGCAAGCTGCTGAGCAGATGAGGAAATTTGTCCTATAGCTCTTTTTTCCTGTTTGTTTCTAGTTCCAAGATTATCCCCTAAAACACACAGGCCTAGGTCTCCAAGGCAGAGCAGTACTCCCACGGGACCAGCTCTGCCTTCTCCTCAGCCTGGTACTATTCCTACTGAATCTGTTGCCATGCCTGTTCCAGCTGCCTCTCCCACACCTGCCAGCCCTGCATCCAACAGAGCAGTTACCCCTTCCAGCGAAGGTAAGTCACTCTTGCTAGCTGGCAAATAGCCTGTATCTCTAATTCCTGGAAATGAGGATGTCCTAAAAGCAGCTGCTGTCTAAATGATGGGAAACCTTTTGTCCGATACAAATAGAAACTTTAGCCAGTTCCCTTTTCTCATGATAACTTTCAGGCTGGGAGAAAGGCTTTTTGATAGGCTTGGTTGCTTAATTTCTTATGTCCTTTAAGACATGTAGGCTTATAGGTGTTTGACTTAATTCAGCCAGAAAATCATTTTATTTTATTTTTTTTAAACTGATTCTCTGGCTATTTTCTAATTAGAGGAAATCTAGACCTCTGCTTTCAAGGAATATTTTGAGCGTAATGAAAGGAGAAAACCCTTCAAGAGTGCCATCACAGAGGTCTAAGAACTCTCAAGTCTGTGTAGCGTTTTATTTGAAGAGCTGGGACTATTGAAATTAATCCACTCTTGGTTTGTATTTTTTTTTCTGCCTGTTTAAGGATCTGTGTGTTTGGTAGGGAAGAACAGGTACTGGGTTTTTCTGGTTGGACTGAGTGATCATAGGTAGGGAGGGTAAGATTCTCTCTAGGTGAAAACTCCATAGTGTAAAATGAATGTATGGTTTCTTTTTTGTAAGCTAGATGTGATTAAATCTCTTCTGTTCCTATCTTGTCTTTTTTTTTATCAGCTTGAGAGTGCTATGAGAAAATGACATTGAGAATTTCTTTTCTAGCTAAAGATACTAGGCTTCAGGACCAGAGGCAAAATTCTGCAACTGGAAACAAGGAGAATATAAAGCCCAGTGAGACTTCTCCTAGTTTTCCTAAACCTGAAAGCAAAGGTTTGTATCAAAAGCTTCCATACATACGTGAATAACTTACTGAATTCCAAGCACTGATCTAGATGTATTTAGTGAAGTTAACACTTTAAAGAAGACTTGCGATCTCCATCTAGGGTGTTCTACAAGGAGTATTTGGTCATGCAGGTTTGTAGTGACAGGTTTACAACCTTAGGTGTTGTTCTTGGCTCATTTGAGCATCATCATAAAATGTGGAGGTGGTGCAATTCCTTCCCCAAAGGAAAGACTTCCCCAAAGACTAGAGGAGTGTTTCATTTTAGGAGCTGTGCTCATAGTATGCCAGAGCTTTGTGGTCAGCACTGTGTTTTATAATGCTGCTTCTTGCTATTATATCTTAAATTTGACTTTCCCTGCAGCCATGCGTGTTCGTTCAGTTCTCAAAATTAAATCTTCTCATGTTGTTGAATTTGATCAGTATTTCAGCTTAAATCTGGGTCCTAAAACACCAGCATAAGCAGTTATAGTTTGAAGTTTTTAGTGTGTGCTACTTTGTGCTCCGAGATGAGATGTAGTCCGTGCATCTAAGGACTTCTGTCTTGGTGTGATGTGTAGAGCTATACATTCATCGAATCCTTCTGTATACATTCATCAAATCCTTCTGCAATGCCATGCTTTCACAGAGTACTTATGCATGCTCATGTATGTAGTTTGTAGCAGCATACCCAATTACAGATAAAATGACACAGATTCTTGCATGTTTAAGAATGAAATATATTGTCCCTTAGATAAGCTTAAAAATGTAGTGTTATATATGTGACTTATATTGGAAAAAGTTTGGATAATGCTGGTCTTATGTTTGGCAGGTGTATCTCCAATTGTTTCAGAACATAGAAAACAGATTGATGATTTAAAGAAATTTAAGAATGACTTTAGGGTAAGTTCCTCTGCATGTTAAGGATGTCATAGTTCTTTTGTGCATCCAAATTATTTTAATTATACTGCATGCGTTAACAATTCTTTAATACTTGTGATTAATTTATGAAAATATTTATAAGGATTCATGGTGGATATTACAAAATTGGTGCTGATTTGTCTTAGTACAATTGTCTAATACTGGTAAATATTCATATTGACTTAGATAATGTACACTGGAAACAATAGTTGAAACCTACTTGGTAATTAGCTATAAATTACTATAGCCTATCATATTCATGCTTCATATGGAAGAGTTGTTTCAAAGCAAAATGGAGAGCCTGGATGAAGAAATATTAAAGATGAATATCAACTATTTCATAATATATTTCCTGGTTAAAGTGGTCTTTTAAATTGGGTTAACTTCTCCAGTGTTGCTCTTAAATCATGCAGTTAGTCCAAAGATTGTGTTAAGATTTCCTGTTACTTTCTAATCAATGTGTGGATCAATGGAGACTCTAAATCGTTGCTTCCACAGTGTAGACTTAACAGAATGTCAATGTTCAGAGAATTTATTACTAAAAAAAGAAAGTGTGCTTTTTAAATGGTCACTTCGGGATGATGAAAGCCTATGAGATTGTATTTTATGTTGTGTATGGACTGGCATTAAACAGTGTCTTCAATTTAAGTGTAGCAACTACTGAAAGTAGACCTTGGTGGTTTATTTATTTTATTCTTTTTATCTTCAGTTACAGTCGAGTTCCTCTTCAGATGCAGTGGATCAGCTGCTAAACAAAACTCGAGAAAGTGAAAAATCAAGAGAAGTGGTTAAAGAAAAGACAGAATCAGCCCCTAAAGAACCTATCGTAGAAACTGGCAGTAATACTAACTCTAACAGTGGTAGTAGCAAACCTAATAGTCCAAGTATTTCTCCATCAATAAGTAATAGTTCTGAGCAAAAGCGAGGGCCAGAGGTAACTTCACAAGGTGTACAGACATCTGGGCCTGGAAGTAAACAAGATAAAGAGGATAAAGAAGAGAAGAAGGATGCTTCTGAGTGAGTAATCATGCCCCTAAAAATAAGCAAATCTGTTATTGGCGTTTAGTTATTTGTAGAACACGGTATTATAAACGTGTAAAATCGTAAATATTTATATGATTGATATATTGTCAGTTATGCATTAAGAGCAATAGGTGAAGTGAGTGTGCTAAACATCTCATGAGTTAGCAACAGAGCTGCATGTAGAACTCGGGTCCTCTTCATGCCTAATTCTCATCTAAACGTTATTTAAATGTTGCCCTACTTCATGTGAGCTGGAGTATCAACAGCTGGCAAACTTATTATGGATAAATATAGTAGAGTACTCTCAGGGAGAGTAGCTTTTTGTACGCTGCATGTCATCTGAGTTCTAAAAAAATCTAATTTGTAGTTGAAAATTGGGTATTTCATCTTTTAAAATTTGTCTTTGTTAGAGAGCTCTGCAGGTAGGCTGGTAAAGGAATGATGCTGAATGTCTTTTTGTGTTGTTCTTTGTTTAGACAAGTTAGGAAATCAACACTGAATCCTAATGCAAAAGAGTTCAATCCTCGATCTTTTGCTCAGGTAAGTTATTTATTTGATATGGCCTAACATTATTATAGAGATCTACTCATATCGTTTTTCTTTAGGGGGTGTCTGATCCAAGTTTTCAGTAATTTTGTGTAGATATCCCCAAAGTCAGTGCTAAGTATGTGACAGATCTCTTTGATTTTGATGGTTATTAGGGTTGTTTGGGCAGAGAGGAGGGTGGTTTTTGTTTTTGTTTTGTTTTTTATTTTGTTTAAAATTGCAGTTATCCTTGGGTTATCCTACGGGAGGCACAAAACATCTGTGATGCATTTTACAAATGCATGGTTTGCTTCTGTTTCTAAAACCCTTCTCATGGCTGAGTATAACACTGACTAATGCCAACAACTCTGACTTGGAGTCAGAAAGCACTAATTCTAATGCAGGTATTTCTTGGCTTAAAATCCAAATGAGAGGAACAAGGCAGTCAAGTTTCACTTCACTATGAAGCCATGTAGGGTAAAAAGGACAACATTAGCTGTAGTGAGCTCTGCAGTTTTAAATCACTGCCTTAAAGCAGTGCAGTGTGGAGGGGACTTCTCTCAAGTCATGGTTTCACCAGTGTGATAGCTGCTGCTCTTGCCATGTGCCTTATGGACACTGCGACTGGTAGACGAGGGCTACACTTAAGGCACTGGCATCCAAGCCTAATTCTAATCACATTTAGAAGTCAGGCAAGGCAATAACTTCAGCAGAACCACAGAGACCAGTGAGCTCCCTGGTCAGATTCAGACCTAGGCAAATACTTCAAGGGGACTAGGGGTGGCGGGGAGGTTTTGGGGGGTATATTCAAGCTAGTTCTGCAAATGCATTGCTGAACTCTGTTTGTAGCCGAAGCCTTCTACTACACCAACCTCACCTCGTCCACAAGCTCAGCCTAGTCCCTCCATGGTGGGTCATCAGCAACCAACTCCAGTGTACACTCAGCCTGTTTGTTTTGCACCAAATATGATGTACCCGGTTCCAGTGAGCCCAGGCGTGCAGGTAAAGTGCAGCGTGTAACAGAAACTTGCTTACACTGTTGCTAGTGAGTTGAGGAGACGTAGGCGACCAAGTTAAAACAATGAGCCAGTACAGTTTATATTACTGTTGTAAAGACCGGCATGATTACATTGTTGTTAAGTTCTAGCTATGTAAATACTAGCTTTTCCTAACGGTCCCTCAACCTAGATGTTACAAGAATTTAAATACTTGTAAAATCTAGCAGCTCTTCTCACACTTGTTAATCTGTGCAGACTTACTCTGCAGTCTGCAAAGTTTAAGAGCTTACTCTTAAAGTTTTAAGCAACGTTTTTTCTGTCCTTTGCTTCTGGCTGTTTCCCATTAATTTCTAGTTGTAGGGATTACCAGGATTTTAAACCTAACTCTGCTGTAAAGCTGTCTGACTTAATATATTGCTTGAAGTAACATATCCAGTCATTACTTGAGAAAGGATGTTGCAAACCACATGGTCCTAGTTGTCTGTACATGCAGACTTAATCATGATGATGCAAGAAAATATCATAGGTAGGTTAGCTGTGACATAGTTGTCACCATGTCTAAAATCTGTAAAGCTTATTTTTCCTTGTCCTGGAGAAAATTGCTGCTGGTATTAAAGAGATGTGGCTAACAGTCCTACCTGTGTGGTAGTTTTGCCAGGAAGAGAGGGATAAAACTTTTGTTAACTTCATTCTCTTACTGTGTTGGTTAACACCTCTTGGACACACAGGGGGATTTTTTTAGTAATGTAGTTGTCAGCTTGAAAAAGGCTGCAAGAATTCCTCCTGAACTGGAGGAATCTGCAAGATACTGGTGTGAAACTTGTTATAACAAATGTTATAATAAAACTCTAAAACAGCCAGCGAACATCTGCAAATTGTAGATGCATCCCTAATGTTAACATAGAATATGCCAGAATGTTATTCACTTGATTAGCAATGGCAAATTTTTCTGTCAGTGTGTATGACACTGGTGAAGAGCTGAGCTGTTAAATATTTTATCATAAAGCATTACCTTTGTGTGAATTGCCTAAAACGTTCTGGTGATCTTCAAGCTTTACTGTTTCTTCCTCTGGACCTTTCAATTACAGCTTGAAAACTAGGATAAGATAATTTTTATTGAGATTAATTTCATAATAGACACTTCTATAGAAGAGAGCTCTAATTATCGTATCTGTAAAGCTTGTATCTAATTATGGCTGTAAAGTTACAGGAAGAAATAATCACTTCTCATATCATTACAGGCTCTCTTTTTTTTTATTATTTCTAGGCTCAGGGTAAAATACACTAGGACATAGTTCTCCCTCATTACACAATTTTTAAAGGAATATCATAACTTAAATTCTTCCTTCTGTTTCAGCCTCTGTATCCTATTCCCATGACGCCCATGCCTGTGAACCAAGCCAAGACATATAGAGCAGGTAAAGGTGAGAATAATACTGCCTGTTTGGTTCTTAGTCTGCATGCAGCATGAATAAAATAACAATTGCTTGTGTATTGCCTGTTTTGTGCCAGTTTGTTTTCAGCTGATACCTAAAATGCTATTTCAATAAAAGAAAGTAAATGGAAATATCAAGGTGTTTCTAGATTGGCTAATTAAGTCAAAACATCATTAAGTTTGGTAATGGAAAGTTGCCTATTTTGGAATTGGATTTAATAAACTGGAAATTGTTTCTGTTACTTGGAACATTTGAGTAAGTTGAGTGTCTCCTATATTTCCTAAATACCATAGTATTGTTCAGAAAGGACCTTTCTGTACTAGTTTGCAGCAGAGCCCTGAATGATGCCTTAACAGAGCATTTTTGTCAGCAAAAACAATTTGTATTTCTTCAGAAAGAGTGCTTCACTCTGTTTTGAAAGGGGCTTGTTGCTGATCCCTGTTCTTTCTTCTGCATCTTTTCTGTGACACAAATGTGGTATTTGTTAGTCCAGCTATTGGGTTTCTAGGGGGTGACACGTGTGGCTGTGGGATGAGAACCCGTATGTGTGTGGGTGTCTTGACATGCGCTCCGAGCGCTGCAGGGAAGCGAAGCAGCACAAAAATGCTGGGCTTGTTTCCCTAGTCCTGCTTCAGATCACACTAGTTCTGCACAGCACATGCTTTCTTGCAGTTCTGCACAGCGCTTTGTGATGATCAGTTCAGTCCTGCAACTCCAGTCACGGGAGGAAATGGATTGAAAGAGCAGCTATGCTGCTGTTAACAAGCAGCCTTTATGAATGTAGGGAAGACAAAAAACTGTAATGTATTTCTGTTTTAAAATACCCTAACAATCCAATAGCCTGATTCATGAAGTCTTTTGGTTGGTAATATTGATTATTTTTATCAAATGTATATTGATAAACATTCTCATTTGCTTGGTGAGGCAGGTCTCCTGAAAGTTTCAGTACAGTTTTCTGCATATCCATCCTGTGCACAGCAAGGCTGTGAAGGAACTACATGTGTTTGGGTTTAGTGCTGTTCAGTACTGTTCAGGTGTTTTGTTTTGCTTTTTTCTATTGCTGATTTGCAATGTAAATATAATTATGGAGTGAATTTAGTGGCACCTTCAATGTTGCCCTCTTTTCCTCTCTCTAAGGGGTCTGTCTACATTGCACACTGCAGTGGCGCTTACAGGTGCTTGAGTTACCTTAGCTTTTAGTTGTTGTTTCACTGCAGCAAGGTGGAGTTTTCCTTGAACTATCCTGCTCTGTTACTTAATAGGTTAGATCAGTCTGAGTGCCTCGTTGTGGGACTTTTTGGTTTGCCTTCTTCTCAGGGTAGCTCAGGTAGTTTCACGTTGCAGTGCTCTGCTCTCTTTCCTTCTGTCTATTTTTTTCCTAGTCCTTTTTCTCCTATAGGATGGTTTGTCCCCTTCTGTGTTGACAATGATTCGAAGTTACTTTCTGCTATCCCGAGGCACAGCACAGAGCTCAGGAGGTGAATGCCTGAATCTGTGGCTGCACAGAGGCTTTTATTGTGCTCTCCACAGCCATGAGCACAAGTAACTTTCATAGACTCAGCTCTCCAGTCAATGGAACAGTTGCCCTAGAGGGTAAATTAAGCCCTTTGACGAGGGCAGGATCAAATTTGATTAATGTAGGTATTCCGATAAAACCTCTCTCTTCTGTTCTTGCTTCTTGTCAGTCTTTCTCTCCCTTCATCCCTTCCCTACATCATGAAAAAGCAGGTCATGCACAAAGCTAAACAGGAGAGCCCCTTTTCATGCAGTTCCTTTGCAGTAGAACTCCAGTACAGTGGTTAAAGGCGGAGAATGCAAAAGTTCCACTTCGTCACAGTCGCATTTAATGCAAAATCTTTCAGGAGGACCCTTGCCCTTCACCCTGTGTTTCTAACGTGAGGTGCTCTTTGCTTTGTAGTACCAAATATGCCCCAGCAACGGCAAGACCAGCATCATCAGAGCACCATGATGCATCCTGCCTCGGCCGCAGGCCCGCCAATTGTAGCTACGCCACCAGCTTATTCGACCCAGTATGTTGCATATAGTCCCCAGCAGTTTCCTAATCAGCCTCTTGTGCAGCATGTGCCACACTACCAGTCTCAGGTAAGCATCTCTTTGGTTTGTGTGCTTATTAGTCAAAGCAGAAATAAGTAAATGGCTCAGTTCTAAATACGGTCTTCTGCCTCCAGTAAGCCACAATGAGCAGTTAAGTGTGTGCTTAGTTTGTGTGCAAAGCAGAAATAAGTAAATGGCTCGGTTCTAAATACAGTCTTCTGCCTCCAGTAAGCCACAATGAGCAGTTAATGTGTTCTGGAGAATACTTGGTCTTGATGTTATGGGTTTAAAGCCTGGGACAAATGGTAAAGTCAGTTTGGGAGCTGGTGCTTCCTCTTGGTAAACTGGTTCTGAAACTATTGGTTTATTATTACTCTGTTAAAAGGACAGAAATGATTCCTTTCAGATCACAGACAGGGAATCTCCCTATTCTGCACTCTGTTTGGTTTACCCCTGTTACTTAAAGGCTTTTGAATGTACATATATAGTCGAATGGCTATATAATTATATATATATATAAACTTGCTACATAATTAGAGTGGCAAAAATTAATCACACTGTTGCTTTTTTATTAATTCCTGCCCTCTAAAAATTAACTGGTTTACCCCTGTTACTTAAAGGCTTTTGAATGTACATATATAGTTGAATGGGTATATAATTATGTATATAAGCTTGCTACATAATTAGAGTGGAAGAAATTAATCACACTGTTGCTTTTTTATTGGTTTCTAGCCCTTATGTCTTTAGGAACAATTGTGTTAATGATGAAAATCTTTAGTTCACTTTGCATTTTAGTAAAGGAAGCTTGCTCTGTCTCTACATATGTAATTACTGTTTTGATCAGATGATTTTCTTTGTATCAGTCCTTCAATTAACTGTCTGCTTTTTTTCTTATTTCTGTTGAATACAGCACCCTCATGTTTATAGCCCTGTAATACAGGGCAACGCTAGAATGATGGCACCACCAACACATGCACAGCCTGGTTTAGTATCCTCTTCTGCAACACAGTATGGTGCGCATGAACAGACGCATGCTATGTATGGTAGGAAACGTTTTGTGTTATATGTAACTTTTTAAGTTGTTAAATTGCACAGGGATATCTTTAATCTCAAGCTTCAAACATGGGTATCATTCAGATTACACCAGTAGATGTGGTTTATAAATCATATGATGAGCAGATCATTGAAAACTGAGCCACCTGGTTAAAATGAAAACTCAAGTATGCTGATTTCAGTAAGATGCCAGTGACCAAGATGAAATTTCAACCTGGGAAGCTGCTAAAGAATATCTGCTGAAAGAAGTTTGTTCAAGTTCTCTTGATGCCCTTGATACAACATCCCTTGATTGTTCCTTGATTATAATTAGGACTGGTTTTATTGCAAGGCTATGGTCTCAGTTTCAAAACTTGACTTTAGTTCTGACAACTAATGAAATACTGTCTTTATGATACTACTAGCATTATTAACAGTATGAAAGCTGCTGTTTAAGCAAAATAAAACTTGTATTGCTTACCTTTCTCTTTTGGTAAGTCAAGAAAATAAGCGTATGAAACAACTCATGTAATTGCTCTGACTTTGACAACAAGTCTCCAGCATTACCAGATGGGCATATTTCACTTACAGTGAAATCCTGAATATATGGGTTACCTTGTGACAAAGTATAATATGATGAAGAACACTAAAGCACTATAAATGTATGGTAAATCAATACCCAATTCAGAGGAAAGAAAAAAAAAAAAAAGAAAAAAAAAAACCTTGCTGCAAAACATGCTTTGAAGCAGGTAGATCCAAGGCTGCTAAAAGATTTGGAAATTGTCATAAAATGTCAAAATAGCAGATGGTTTCTTGAAAACATGGCATTTCGATACTTGTTATAGCATCTGAGGAAGACTTTTATTCGGTCACATATATTATTGACTTAGAATCTAATAAAAGATTTTCTGTACCTTTAGACATCTTTGTATGTTTTACGGTGCTTAGTTTTACTTAATGGATGCCCATTATGTATCATGAAAACTTGCAAGCCTAAGAATCTGAAGTTTAGTACAGAATTGATTCTGATTTAACCAAGTCTGTGTCTTACTCATCTGAAAACATCCTCCTGTCAGACCTCTGCAGTGGTATGATAAACATAGTTAAGAAACAAAAATAATAACAGATATTAAACATTTTTGGGCACTTGGAGGAAGAACATTTCAGCTCGTTTGTAATAAAGCTGAAATGGAAGTTACTTGCAGAGCTTAAGTCTCTTTCACCCACAGGTCCAGCTAATTGTATTACTTTGATCCTTTCAACTCTTGTGCATGAGGTGTTCGTGTAAACAGATCTTCCGATTGCTTTTTCACCAGATTAAATAGAATTCGGATAAAGTGAACGATCAAAGGCTTTCAGACCTTTTTTGGTGAAAACTTTCCTCTCAAATCCTAATTGAAATAAAACCAGGTATGAGATAATCTCCGAGATCTCATTCAAAATGGATGCGTGTGACGATTTAGCAATATCCCGTTGTGCACCATCCTTATCTTCCATACCCTGTGGGTTTTGTAGTGCTGAAGCCTCTTCCCTTGGTTGGCTTTGATCAAATCTCTGTACAGCGCTTTTCCACTGGTGCTCTAATTTATGACTGTTCTTATTTTGTGCATTTTTGTGTTGGTTTTGCAGCTGGTCTGTTGTAGGTATGTGACTACCTACCACTGCACACTATAGAAGCCGAGTCAAACTTGGAAAAATCGTTTGGTATTTCTTTCCACATAATTAAATGCTGTTTTTCCAAGAGCGCTTCATTTGACAGAAATTGCACATGCTCCTGTGTTCCTTTCAACAGCTGCTTGGTGACTCTTCTAGATGTTTCCCCTCCTTTCAAGTAAATGATCAAGTCCTAGAAATTCTTGTAGAAATCGCTCAAACCAGTTGGATACTGGTGCAGCATCATGAACAACTCTGTATGTGTCACTCGTGGGGTGAGAGTGTGTTCTTGCCATGTGCAGGCATGTTTACTGCCTGGTCTAACAAGAATTGGCCCAACAGTGCCTTAACCTGTGAGATTTTCAGTTAGCCACACACCGCATGACTGTGCTGTAGTGCAGCACAGTCTCAATTCACATTTTTGCAAGTCTTCCACGTGCAGAATTCTTGAAGACCTTGCCTAGACTGGTTGCTTTTCCACAAAAATATATCCATCTATAATGTATTACTTCAGCTTCCATTTATCAATATGTTCCTGCTTGGAAAAAGATGTAGAATTGCTTAAGGTGATGACTCCATGCTGCTCATGGAGCAAATTGCTAAAGGGCAACTTACGGGGCTCATTCATAGTCTCACTGGGTGGTATTAGATAGCTTTGAACAGTAATGTGAAACATATCTACAACTTACATTCAGTGTTTGGGGAATCTTACATTTGCCCACAGCATCTCTGAGTTAAATATACCAACACACATTGATTCTGAATCTGATCTGGTCCTCTTTTAAGACTGATAGAAAATATGGAGTGAGAAACAACAGCCATTGCTGCTTTTGATTTCTAGAGCATTTGCTCGATCGAGTTCTCCGATTCCTTTTTTTGCTCTTTAAAATTGTGATCTGATGTTTTTTTCTTTTTTTTCCACGGTTGTCAGTATTAAGTGGGTTACAATACTCTTAGCCTTCAACGTGCTGGTGCTTTCTTTGAGATAACTCTTGCAAAATTCACTCCATTTTTTTTTTCTATGCATGTGGTAGAAAGAAGATGTCTGCAAGGACAACCACACTGAGATGACAGGGTTGGGGGAGTTGCTTAGTGTTCTTAAGGTGTGAAATATTTTCTGGTGAGATCTGAAACTCCATCTTCATCAATGGTTTGAGTGAAGTAAAAATCTGTGGCAAATAGGAATTACTTGTCAATGAAGAAACATGCCTGTTTATCCATTAAGTGAATTTTCCTGACTGCTGAAAGTATATATTTTTTGTTTTCCTTCGGGTCTTATGAAGAAAGATCTCAGTCCAAAAAATTTAGTGACTTACACTTGTTGATATGCAACTATTCAGTTAAAAACAAAACCAAAATGTTTGTCTAATACTGTTTAACAGGATATTTCTGCACCTCTGGGGTTTCTTTGTCAGTCCTTGTGTGTCCTGCTTCTGTTTCACAAACTGGAGTTAACAAGAGCTCAAGAGAGCAGCAGGGTAGCTAAGCTGTGTTGCCACTAACACGCTGTCTAAGCATATGACAGAGGAATGTTTAAATTGCTGGGTTTTTTCCCCCATAAAAACACAGTTGGGAAGTACAGTATTCAAACAACTATCTTTCATCCTGTCTACCAGCCAGACATTAAGACCGTCTGTTATACACTTCAGCTTGTAACCTCTGGAGATGTGACCCATTTAAATGTCTTAATCCTGGGAAGTTTGAAACGCACGTGCTGCCGGAGCCGAGCGGAGCGCGCACCTTTACCTGTCGTGTACAAATACCTTAATGCTCATCTGTCATTCTCACCCTGCTAAACTACACGCTGGTTTTGGAGTTTGACATCCTGAGCCCCTGTGTCTCTCTGAGGTGCTGGCTCTGCGGGGTCTCCATCGTCCTGGCATCCCTGGGCTGCTAGAATTGACTGCCCGGGGTTTGCAGTTAGGCTGCTCAATGTGTGTAGCGTAAAGCTACGAGTCTGTCTTGTGGTGTCAGTGGCAAATGTGGGTACCTAAGCTGCAGGTGGATGTATTCCTGTGACAATTAACTCCTAAGAGTTTTACAGTCTAGCTAAATTGCCTGTGTTTTGGATAACTGGAGTCCTCTGAAAAACTGTTGTGTTTAAAAGCAAACTTCTGCAAAACCAGACCCTGGTTTTACACAGATGCATTTCTTGTTTTTATGTTCTCATTCCTGTCCCTACTTTCCCTTCCCTTTTCCCTTCTGCATATGTTTTACTGGTCTGGTATTGTCTCTAACTTTATCTGGTTTCTGTCTCAGCAGTAGAGTAAATTCTATTACCCCGATAGTACAATGGTGGATATAATATAAACTTCCAAGGATTCTCCAGGGACTAAGAGTGAACCAGTCACCAAAGGTGTCTTGGAACTGTTAAGAATGCCAGTGGTATAGTGAAAAAGCAAGGGGCCAATTTGTGTTTTAATGTAACTATATTTTAACTTTCTCATTACAGTGGACTGTAATAGATCGTTAATTGACATAGACTTTATTTTTGTGTTAATACTAAATTGAGAGCTGAAGTCACAATTCAGAAGGAAGGCTTACCTGAGACTCAAGTGGTTTCATCATCACCCTGTTGTAAAACTAAATATCCAGCTCTAATAGCATCTAAGTAAATAAAAAAAAAACTGCATGAATCTACAATCTTCAAAAAAATACCAAAAACAAAAACAAAAAGCAGATGCTGACCTATCCAGAAGACGAGAAGTATGCACGTGGCAAGAGGCTAATTTACCTTTCTATTTCCCAAATTCAGCATGTCCCAAAATACCATACAGCAAGGAGACAGGCCCTTCTTTCTACTTTGCCAGTGAGTTGGGTTTTTTGTACTAATTTTGATTGTACAGAAAAGCACTTTCTGAAGAATAGATGTTAAAGGAATGGGACGTGTTGAGGGAACAAGTTTCCTTGCACCAAACCAGTATATAGAAAACACAGGAAGGTTCCTATCAATGGACAGGGGAATGAAGCTGTTGAATGGAATTAGGTTGCCACAAAAGGTGATTTGTCAGATGTTTGAATGCATTTTTGCATAGTAAATAGTCTTTAACTTGACTACCTTGTCGCTCCTCCACATTCAGAGATTAGTGCTCTGTGTGGATAATCTCTGCTTAAAAGCTAGGTGAGCTGCCTTGCTTCCTATCTTTCATAGCTCAAATGAGATTTTAAGCCTGCAAGTTAGTCAATATCCTGAAAGGAAAAATATCTTAGGTGTAGTCTCATTAGGAAGCTGTGGCCCGAGTTCGGAGCCCCTGGAAGGAACTGAGTTGCAGGTGGGTTTAGAAACGTGAGAGGGGCTGTTGTGCTCCATACTCTAGGTGCTAATCCAGGCTTCAGTTGCATGTGAGTACCAGGAGAGGTGAATAATTAAAAATTCTGCCCTTTACGTTGCTATTTACCCAGAGCTTTGCTTTGAGGAAGCTGCTTTTGGTCAGGCTTTGAGTGGGAAGGTAGTTACAGGATGATCTATAGAAAAAAAGAAAGAGGCTGCAGTTCCAGGTTGTCTCTGTTTGGCCTTGGCTCCTGTCCTGCAGTGAGACCCGTTGCTGTGTCTGTGATTCCGTGCAACCTGTGCCAGGCTTCCTTCTCTCCTTCTTGAGTTACCTCCTGCAAGAGGGATATGAGAACTACCCCTTGTCCTTCCAAAATCTGGAACGAACTTCCTGTGTGTTTCTTGTACAGAAAAGCATTTGTGTGAACCACTGTAGAAGGAGGTCGGCCTGTGCTATGCTCAGGTTTGGTGCACTGAAATAATCTGAATAAACTCGTTCCTTTAGTGGATATTCTTTTAAATGAAGTCCACTCTACATGTATAAAATGACTTCTGCAAATGTTTGTAATATGAAAGAAACATTGCTATTTCTTTGCTTCCTACCATTCAGGTCTTTTAAATGTAGTTATCCTCACCATCTTACTGGGTCTGGCAATAGTCTTAAATTCAGGTTTGTTCTGTGGTCGGTTCCTGAGAATAAACTTTCAGTGCTTTGATGTTTGGGTGTTGACCGCTATGGCCATTGACCAGCACTGAAGTTTCTACCAGGGAAAATATGAAATTACACGATACGATTTCTGCATGTGCCCTTGTAACTGAGAGAGCTACCTGATTTCTGCTGCTCTGACCTCTTCATTTCAGCTGTGAGGTTGATAGGTGACTTCTTTTCGTTTACCTCTCAGAAGGACGGTCAGGGTTGCACTTCTGTAGAGCTGAACTTGGTAATCAAATGCACCTGTTTTTGCTCACTGCATTACCGAATTGCTTGTCTTCGCTGTGTATCCTCCCAAGGTCAGTGGCTAGTTCAGTTAATATCTCGTGTCAGTAAACTGCTTGATGAGAAGGTGCTGGAGTGAAGCAAGTTAGCCCGGGGAGTTTTTCTGGGAAGAGAAACCCACGGCGTAGAGGGTGAGAAGTGGTGTGTTTTCCCTGGAGTTCAGATGAGCTGTCATGACTTAGAATCATAGAATCATAGAATGCTTAGGGTTGGAAGGGACCTCTAGAGATCATCTAGTCCAACCCCCCTGCATACGCAGGGACATCTAAAGCATGTGGCGCAGGACTGCATCCAAGCGGGTTTTGAAGATCTCCAGAGAAGGAGACTCCACAACCTCTCTGGGCAGCCTGTTCCAGTGCTCTGTCACCCTCACTGTTATTATTAGACTTATACCTATGAGCCTTGCAGAGCTTTTATGTCCCTTCCTAGGGCTTGCTCAGCTCTTTCCTGAATACTAAATGGCCATCAGGGCAATCTCTGAAGTGCTGACACGTTGAGGAAAACTGGATAATTTGTGATTTTTATTTCCTCCCCTCTCACCCTGTTTTGTCTCGTTTCCTACTTGATAAGAGTAGCTGTTTTGATGAGCAGGAGAAAAGAAAATTCCTGGAAGAGTTACAGTGAAAGTGTTGGAGTTGTGGCTAAGTGGGTGAGTTTCTCCTGACTGTTTTGCAAGATCCCTTTCACAGGCAGGCTAATCCATCAGATTTTACTTATTTGCCTTGAGCTCTTAACTACACTAGGTAAACATGGGGAACCTTGTAAACCTCCAGAGTTAAATTTGAACTTTGGTTTTAAGCTGACAGAGGTCTGTGCACTTAATTTCAAACTTGCTCCAGCTCTTCCTGAAGCCTCCTTGACTGCCTTACAATATCTGTATTATCTGGGATAAGTCTGCAGATAACATCTTGTAAGAGGCATTTTAAATGTTACTATTAAAACATAGTTTGCAGCAGCATCTGAACTGGTGTCAAGTTAGAGCTTATTGCAGCAGTCTAGGTTATGGAAATGAAAATTCTGAATTTCTAATTTAAAATTTTCTTTAAAAATTCCTTTAAATGCCAGTCTAGGTTGTGGAAGAGCTGATACCACAGGGAGG